TAGATGGGGAAAAGAAGGGCAGTTCTAAGAAAAATCTCCTATGTTCTCGCTAAATTTCTACTTGATGGTGACTAAGAGTTTACTTAGCGAAGTTGGTACAAGGATTAATGCGAAGAAAGGCTGTTTGTATTCCTCGTTACTATCAACGAGGCCTTGACAATACCATGAAAACGCGTTATGTACGCCCCCGCTTGCTTTCAATTAACCCTTAAAGCAAGCTGCAGAACCATGAGCACTAGGTCTATTCTCTCTGAGATTCAACTCCTGCTTGTTCAACCGAACTGGAGTACAGGCTGGTCTGGCACCAGGAATCTGAGGGTTTAAGTGAAAGACCCAGTTTCCCTCTTTGTTTAGAGTGATGTAATGCTTACAATCTGCCCATGAAAGGGGGCCCAGGCGAGTTAAATTGAGGCTTGAGAATTGTGCTCCGACTCCCTGGCTGAACTTCATGCGACGCGAGTGGCTGAGCCAGAAGTACCCAATCTCGTTTGGACTCTCCGTGTCGAATGTTTGAACCCACTCGAGAAGCTTGGCGTTTCCGTCACCTGGGAAAATCTCTTATAAGACGGGTCCTACCTGAGTATCGAAACCTCTAGGCTTTGTATGCTTACGACAGTCATAGCACATAACTAGCAAGGGATTCTCCTATTCTGTTGTCCCTTTTGTCGAGAGTGCACAAAACCTGATTTCCCTCTGAAGTTTTCGTGCGAGTTTCGAGAAACAGCAAGCTTTGCTACTGGCCATATATGTTAAGCGCTCTAGTCACAAAAGGAAAGCATCTCGCAAGCCCGGTTGGTTGTCGACAATGCGAAAGCGAACTTCTTGTTCTTGCTTCTGAGGGCAAATGCGATGAGTCCCAGCAGAGAGACTGAGAGTAACACGGTGAGAGTTACTTGTTCGTTACACCGAAGCAAAGCAGAAGTCTGGGAAGAGGGTTTTACAGGAGTCCCGCAATCCCAGATTGAAGTGATGAGAAAACTTGTGTTGGATTTGGAGAGAGGACAGAGTGTTATYGAGTATACTGCCTAATTTTGTGAATCGGGCGGGAAGCTACACGGTACAAATTCACACACTGAGAGCGTGGACCAAACAAAGGGGAAGTAGGGATCACCTAGGAACCAGTCGTAAAGCTACAGCCTCCCGAGGCCGACTTGTCTGTCTGGCAAGGTGCTCAATCTGTATACGATTGGCACCTGATCGCGGTTCAGTTAGTATCCAATCTCTACTCAAGCAAGGATTAATCAGTGAGTAGTCAAAGTCTGATCGGTACCTCAGACTTCGGGTGACAGCCTGTAAATGGTAGCGGCTTACCACTTTTGCAGACCCTAAGCAACGGTCGAAGCGCATCAAGTCTGCTTATTTCATTCGGGCTGCGGCCTAAACCTCGACGAGGCTGGGGAATCATGAAAAGAGATGAGATCCTAGTGATCAAGGGCAGGTCTAGCAGAGCCAAGGGAAAAGGCTGGGAGGAAGAGGCGTGCAAAGATGCAGAAAGGCACAGACTAGCTCAGAGAGAGTTTGTGATTGGAATAGCAGAAGAGAGAAAATACATTGAGTACGTGGTCTTCTTCTACGGATTTGACAACAAACTGCACAGTACCAGTTCCACGCTAGAGTCAGTGGAGCAGGCCAAAACTAAACTTGGACTGGCATAGACTGTTGGAGGCTTCACCCCAAAAACGTTACTCACGTCTCAGCGGTTCAGAGTTTATTAATAATTTGTTCCTACTTACTAATGCTCCCCCGCTGCGTGATCAGACCTCAGTGTCCTTTCGGCTCAGATGAAACTCAGATGAAACTCAAGTGAAGCTCATGTGAAACTCAGATGAAACTTGGACAGTACTCAGGGCAGTACCGGAAACTGCTCAGAACGGAATTCAGTATTCAGAGTAGAAGGCAGTACTCAGGGCAGCTCTCGAAACTGCTCAGAACGGAATTCAGTACTCAGGCAGTATTCGAAACTTGTAACGAATACAAGACAGTGTTCATGCGCTGCTCAGTCACGCTCAGTTCCCTTGGCTAGTCAGTTCTCTATCAGCACTCATTTAATTTTCTGATTAACAGTTAATCAGTTTCTTTTGAACAACATTCGGAATCAGTATCCGGAATCAGTATTCAGGACCAGCATTTTTAATCAGTATCCGGAATCAGTATTCAGAACCAGCATTCGGAGTCAGCATTTGGTAAGCAGCAATTAGTCAGCAAAACAATCAAAGTTTTAGTCGGCATTTAACCAGCGAAACAGTCAATCGAGACGRCTTTTAATGGTGGTTCAGCAGCTATTTAACTCAAAATCCAATCAACGARACARTTAATTYGAAGAGCAGCAAACCGGAGAGCAACAATCAGGAACARYTGYTCTAAAYAACAATCAACCGMGCAGCCTTYASATACCTGGATCATCCATGAGTCATCCGTTTTGAGTTGTAGCGAGAGATCAGCGAGGCTATGGACAGTAGTAACGCAGTTAGAGTTTCCTGCTCACTGTATCAGAGCACTGCGGAGACTTGGAGGGAAAGTGCAGTCGAGGAGTACAACCAGCAGACTACTACGATGATGGAACATGCACTGGCTCTCGTGAGGAATCATACAAAAACCGAATACACATACTACTTKCATGATAAGAACGGCAGACTGTGTGCCACCATAACTTCAGTAGGTACTATCGAAGAAGCAAGGAGGACTGTAGGCCGCCATCGGTGAGTGTTTTGTCTGAACGAGAACTTRTCCGGACATTCGGTAATCATCTGATCAGCAATCAGTTTTCAGCAATCAGTTTTCAGCAATCAGTTTTGAGCAATCAGTTTCCTGCAWTCGGTTTGGTAACCTGTTCTCAGGGATTGTCTGGTCAGCTTGTACGGGCAAGAGTACTMWTGAGCACAGTTYAGTCTGCTCCGGTYAGTGAGTCAGTACTGGCCAGCCTCAATCGGATCTCATGCAAAGAGGCATTCTATTATCGGTATGTTAGTGCCATTGGTTTCAGACAKGGAGATCTGTCAATCTTCATTGTCCAGACCAGTTTTGCTAATGACACTATCCACGATCTGAKGCCTTATCTGAAGAAAGGCAAGGAGACTCATGARCTTTTTGATCCAGTCTGGATYTCAGCCACTGAATACCTTGAGCAGAGAGAGAGGGAGCTCGATGAGAGTGRCACTACGTTGATTCGCGGCTTCGGGCCGATGCTTTACACTGATTATCCTAGGCCTCCTGTCCCTTCACTTCTCACAGATGGCACGAGTTGGTTGGATGTGATTGGATTGGCAAAGAGGTACATCTCTCCGGCTGTGATCGACATTGAGGCATTAACTGAGCCTACTGAGTATCCTTACCTCAGACGAGGAGTCTTTTCAGTGGATGGATTGCCTACTTTGTGGGAGGAGTTTTGCTCCATGGTTAACTACCGTGTCATGTGCCTGGGATGGTCATGCTCAGAGCTAGCCGGCTACAGGTGGCTTTTCGTCACGAGGCCTCGGTCTCAGATTGTACGTAGGCGTGGATCTCGGCACCAGAGAGGAGTAGTGAAAAGAGATTGAGAGAGACGGACCAGAGGGATGAGTGAGGACTCTTGAGAGGTGTTGACCACGCTCGTCTATGTGTACTTTCTAAGATTATTATGAGTTCTCATTCTTCCCTCACTCAATTGCCCCTGTCTTTGCTCGAGTCAGTCAGTCTTATTTTCTGCATTGTTCTTGTTCGATGATTGCCTTTGCGGATGTTTTGTCACAGTTCTCAAAATCAGATTGACATAATTGATGCATGCATAGCATCCGATAATTTTATGATTATTATTTGCATAATTGTTTGCTGTTCCGAATCAAAATAAAAGATTCCTAAGATTGGGAACCGGCGAAGACCGCAATTGAAGGGTCTCGCTCGAAGCCGGACGCACACAACAGGAAGGGATTTGCATTAATTAATTTTATTTTACTTATTGCAATCACTTACAAAATCCTGCGTGACAGCCTGTTGGCTTTCTGGTCGCCCGAAGTGGCCCGACTGGAAAAAGTGCGACAGCGGGCGCGGACGTGAGACGGGGACGGGTGCGGGCGTGAGGGTGGGCGCGGGGGTCAGGGGGAGCACTGGCTGGGGGTCAGAGTGCCACTCGCCGGGGTGTGGGGACCAGCACACTGGGGGTGCGTGGGGACGCCCGGTTACGAATTTTTTCCCGGTCTTGCGGAGTACCTATTTCTATTCTACTCTATTCTATGAGAGAGAGAGAGAGAGAGAGAGAGAGAGAGAGAGAGAGAGAGAGAGAGAGAGAGAGAGAGAGAGAGAGAGAGAGAGAG